GATAGTTTAATAATTTATTAAAATTAATAATAATGATAATATATATACTAAGCATGAAGGTGGCGCTTTCCTACGGTGTCCATCTTAGATGGTACACCTACAAAACTCTGCATTACTTTGTCGCACGTATTCCTAGCTTTGTTCTAATTGGTCAGTTTGATTGACACTCCTAAAAGGTCCATTGCCTGACTACAGTAAAACCCTTACCATATTAGGCAGTTTTCAGGCACGACGCTAATAACATTAACGGATGACGTCATTATTTATTCATCTTCCTTGCGGAGTACGTTAATTTCAGGAATTTTCGTGCTCGACGTATGTTAGTTACGGGTTTGCGCATGCATTTTTCGATTTGTTTACAAAAGGGGGGGAGTTATCGCGCTGCATGTCGGGTATTGACGTTAAAGTTAAGGTTAACGTCATGCGGCAAAAACTATCTAAATACTACCTGTTAATAGAGTGTACCCTGAATGGGGAATGGAGGTAATGTTGAAAGATATATTGATCGGCAATGATAACTAATAAGTTTCTGAGTGAATATAACAATTCTCTGCATGCAATCCGTGTTCAGAAATTATAGTATCTCTTAATTTTATACTCTACTTCATTACAGAAATTCTGTGTATTGCATTCTCCTATGTACAAGTTGATAGCTAGATTGAGATGGTTGATTTCATGTAGGCCAACTTCTCACGGTCTACTTGAGATTCCAGGCACCAACATACCAAAACCTGGCAAGAGGATACCTCTGTGTTCTTCTGATATGCAATAATTTGACATCATTATCTGTTCTATTAGTGAGAAAATTTCATCTAAACTGCATATAAACAACATTAACACATTAAAAATGAGTCTTTTATTTCTCCTTTGCGGCCCGAAATTGGGTTGCGGCCCATAGTTGTGGACCGTTGATTTAGTATGATGAGTCTGAGATGTGGCCTGGAAATTAATCCTCATTTTTGTGTGGTCAACAGATTATAAGTATTTATAGGTAGAGGTTCTTTTTTAATGATCCAAAGTCAAGTGTAAAATTGAGAAGTTACTCACTATTTATTTCTTGATTTCTTAAAAAAGAACTTAAGAATTTATTCAATAATCTGAGATTATAAGTTCTATTTATAATAATAGTATAATAACTTTCTAACAGCTTCAAACAACATTACCACATTACCGTAATTATAATACTTGTAAATATTGCTTAATATTGGTAGGTAACCGAAGTAGGTACTGTATACAGTAAATTGATAGTTAATTTTTTTATACTAAATTATAAGCCGGCAGTGATCAATACAGCGTGCGCATTGATTTTTTTTTTCTTTTTTTGGAATCCGGATTTATATGGCGCCTATCACAAACTGAAGAACATACAAGGCGTTGGCGTCAGTATTTCTCTGGTCACAGGATACTAAGTTGACAAACCAGCACATTTTTGTGCAACTTTCTCTGCTCCCTGTGGAGTATCCCAAGTCATCCTGCTTTGCATGCACAACCTAATACGTTCAATGCCACACCATCCTACCAGGTACCCATTAATACTCCTGGGTGGAGAGGGGTAAACGTAAGTAAAGTGCATTGCCCAGGGACACAAGCAATGGGACAGGCATCGGTCTCGAACTCCCGATCTCACAATCAGAAGTCCAACACCTTACATGCTGTGCCACATGCTGCTCCTAAGCTGCTGTCTATATTTATTGAGACACTAATAAACACTGAAAATCACACAAAAAAAAAAATTTAAAAAAATTGTCTATGTACTTGGCATTAGACACAGGCCTATATTTGGCAATTTGAACCTCTGTGGCTGATTCCAAGTATTAGTGGTGTCTCCTTGAACAATCTGGTAAAATTATCATGGAGAGAATATCGATTATAATCTTTCAATTTAATTGTGATATGACACCATCCAGTGGTGTAGTTATTAATATTTAAAGTAGAGAAAATCTTATGAATCTCCTCGCATGGGAAATCAACACTAGACTGTTAATCTATGGACGTATTATTGACAGACGGGAAAGTAGAAAAATCTTCATCAAAAAATCTACTATCAAAAATAATAACCAATAAGTCAGCCATTCGTATCACAGATGCACGCTTTCCATTGCAGCCAGTGCGGTTTGGAATTCCAGATAGAATATGAATCTAACAACTCATTATCACCAAAATAATTTTTTTATTGACGTCTTTATGTGTAATTGAATTTCTTTGAATTAGTAAAATAAATCAATTATTCTCAGATCGTTGTAATTAAAGCACCTTAAAAAAAAACTTTTCCAACTTTTATTATTTTTTTTTAGCACAGTCAATTTTCTTATTCATTCGTAACATTAAAGTTCCTTGCCCTTTTAGTAAGCAAATACATGAAGTGTATACCTAAGTATTCCAAGCATGCCTTAGAAAACTCTGAATATTAGGTTTTCTTAGTTGGTAACCTTAGTAGTACCCATCCCATTCTGTTTCCAAGCCCTGGCATTTTGGTAACAAAAAATTTTACAAAACCCCAGACCATGCTCTTAGGACCCCCGCTGCTCCAGGCCCGTAGGCTGATCCCTGGGGCCCTGTGTGTGGAGGGGTGTGTGTGTGTGTGTACGTGTGTGTTGGTGATGCGTGTTTGTTTATTATCTATTAGTTAATTATCTATTAGATAATGTAGCCAAGCACAGAAAATAAAAGACAGGCATATGAATTAAATGCATGTGGCTGTCTTTTGTTTTCTGTGCTTGCCTACATTAACCGAAAGGTCCACTGATTAATCTCAGATAAGATAGTATAATACATACTCCAAGTATTGAAATGCACACCGTCGTGTCGAGATTCAATATTTCAACATTAATTATGTCGTCATCAGGAATGTTTGGCTACATTGGTTTCAAATATTTTTTTTTGTATCTATTTCCAATAGATATAATTGACACTGACAAACTCAAATCTCATACAAATTTGTTTAACCAGATGCCATGGTGGCCACTGAAAGGCATGTAGTAATTATGCCTGAACATCTATTAGTTGCATGAATTTCTTATGCATTACTAGGAGACGTTCAGAATTTTCCGGTAACAGCTCGTCTGGAACGCTTTTAATTTCCTTTTATATTAACATCTTGAATAGGAATATGTACAGTCTGTGAATTCCCTGGAGGCTTATTAATCATTATTTTCTATGACCTTAACCGCATTTTATACAAAAAAAAAAAAAATAAAAAAAATTGATTGTATACTGGTAATGGTATTCGTAAATGAAGACTTGACTGACTATTAAAAATATCTGACTGATTTTAAAAGCTGTTTTGTCTATGTTGAAACGGGAAAAAGTAATTTCTGTTAAACTACTCGATTATCATTTTATTCAAATGATACAATAAAAAAAGCTGTATTTATTTTCATTAAAACAATCACAAGGTAAACAGAAATAGATATTAAAAAACATAAAATAGTCTAAAACGTAATACTATGAAATAATATAGTATAAGTATAATAAGTACAGGTGGCACCTTCAAAATTTATGGAGATTTCGCTAGCTTTCTCTAGCTTCATTGGGTGAATTAAACGTAAAAAGTATTTAATGCAGCCAAGAGCAGCAACAATGCCACTATACCCTATTGCTATTCAAGTCACTGGGTGGGGTGGGGGGGTCTGATTTTCTTGAGGGTCCTAGTTACAAAATGTCAACATTCATATAGAATAATTGTTGTAGAAATGAATTTTTAGGTTGTCAAGCTAATGGTAGCCTTAAGCTACTGTGTTTTGTTTGGTTTTTTTTTTTTTACTTGCTTTCAAGTTCGTCACTTTTTAGTTTCTTTATCGGACTTTGGTTGAAACATGTTTTTCCGTGATAAAATAATTATTATTATTAAGCTATTGTGGATTTGAACCAGGAATCTCCAGTGCTCAATCAATTGAGCTATACTGCCCTCTGCCTTTTAAAGTACACGACTGCAGCAGTCTTAACAATTATTAACATCTTGAATAGGAATATGTACAGTCTGTGAATTCCCTGGAGGCTTATTAATCATTATTTTCTATGACCTTAACCGCATTTTATACAAAAAAAAAAAAAAAAAAAAAAATTGATTGTATACTGGTAATGGTATTCGTAAATGAAGACTTGACTGACTATTAAAAATATCTGACTGATTTTAAAAGCTGTTTTGTCTATGTTGAAACGGGAAAAAGTAATTTCTGTTAAACTACTCGATTATCATTTTATTCAAATGATACAATAAAAAAAGCTTTATTTATGTTCATTAAAACAATCACAAGATAAACAGAAATAGATATTAAAAAACATAAAATAGTCTAAAACGTAATACTATGAAATAATATAGTATAAGTATAATAAGTACAGGTGACACCTTCAAAATTTATGGAGATTTCGCTAGCTTTCTCTAGCTTCATTGGGTGAATTAAACGTAAAAAGTATTTAATGCAGCCAAGAGCAGCAACAATGCCCCTATACCCTATTGCTATTCAAGTCACTGGGTGGGGTGGGGGGTCTGATTTTCTTGAGGGTCCTAGTTACAAAATGTCAACATTCATATAGAATAATTGTTGTAGAAATGAATTTTTAGGTTGTCAAGCTAATGGTAGCCTTAAGCTACTGTGTTTTGTTTGGTTTTTTTTTTTTTACTTGCTTTCAAGTTCGTCACTTTTTAGTTTCTTTATCGGACTTTGGTTGAAACATGTTTTTCCGTGATAAAATAATTATTATTATTAAGCTATTGTGGATTTGAACCAGGAATCTCCAGTGCTCAATCAATTGAGCTATACTGCCCTCTGCCTTTTAAAGTACACGACTGCAGCAGTCTTAACAATTTTCTATCCATAAAAAGATTTGGAATGGTAGCATGTTGTTGCATTTTATATGAATTAATTTGATGGAACTGAAAAGTCATTGTAGACAGCGTGAAAGCATGGAATGTTATCCATTCAGCACACAGAGATTTTGTCACGCACAAATGGGCAAGGTCATAGTATGGGCAAGTATAGCAGTAAGAATATACTTTGGTTTTTAGCCCTGATCAATAGAAGTTGCACACTGTACTGTAATTTCAGAGTGGGTTGGCAGGCTTTTTAACAGGCCAATAGTTAAACGTTAGCGAAAGGACTTGTGAGGTGTTCAATTAGGGTAAGTTAACCCACTACGCTTAACGCTATTAGGCGAGACATTTTTTATACCTTGTTTCGCGAACTTTTTTTTTTAAAGGTTGTCAGAGGAGGGCAGAAAAAAAAAATTAATTTTTTTTTCTTATTTAGCAATGGTTTTGCCAAAAACATCCAGATGGAGGAGAAAATATAAATAAAATTTAATTGGTGAATATAAATGTTGTAGTAATGGGATGGTAAATGTTTTATATAACTAGAAAGAAATACATATCTTATTTTTGGAGATTTCAAGGCAATAGTGGGCATAATAAAAATAAAGAATAACTTAAGTTTTGTGTGTAATTTCCCTTTTTTCGTAGTGGTGTGTGCTCTAATTGGCCAATAATAAAATTTTATTTTTATTCGAAATCTTAATTTTTGGCAGCCGGCCGGCTAAACAAGGTATAAAAATAGTCTCGCCTTATGCTGGCTGATCAAATAGATATTGTTAACAGAAAAAAAATCTTTTTTGATTCTGTTTGTTGAAATTGAATTGCAAGAACTTTTATTTTGAAATATTCATTTTTGTAAGGCAGAGATCAGGTTTGTTTGCTTGTTTCGCTTGTGCCCTTGAGCAAGGCACTTTAACTGCTTTGCTTTATTTCCACCCAGGCATATAATAATTAATAAATAAGATTTGTATAGTGTTCATATACATTATATTAAAGGAATGCAAAGGCGTATACTCAAGGAGTATATTGTTACTTGGAGGGGGTATCTTGCTCGTGCGCTGACTACAACAGCAACTTAAAGCATGTGGACTCAATTACCTTAGGAAAAAAGTGCTTTGTATAATTAAAAACAAAGGCGCTGTTTTAATAAACACCAAATTGTAATGAAAATGCCCACCCTGCTTGGTATCGTACATGAGTACCACAAAGACTAATCCTCACATAAGTATAGATTTAATGTACCATTTAGCATGAATTAATGTTACTCTAAATGGGGAAATTATTGCCACAAGATAACCCCTCTGCCATCATCCTCAATTGATGTTTGTTGCTGTTGGTGAACAAATTATAGAAATGCTTAAGGCGATTGAGAGATAAGAAAAAAATAAATATGGTACAGGAGGAAAAAAAATGAAATTATGCTAAATGCTAAAGAAACAAAGAAAAATAACTAAAGTAACTTAAATTTGATGATTTATTTGCTGCTGTGTTTATATATTTAATGGTGGTGGTTGTGGAGGGTGGGGTTAAATGGCAGGTGGTTTGAAGCAGCAGTTCCCAGACTCATAACATCATGGTTGTGAGTTTGAACCACACGCTGTTTAGCAGTGTTTCAGCCTTAACTGCAGGTATTTTATGGCTTAAAAATTAATAAATTTGCATTGAAGGAAGTTATGCTCTATTAAGTTATATACTGTATTGTTTTATGAGGGACATGGGATAAAAGTTATTATTATTTGAAGGTCAAAAATGTAATAAAATGAATAACATTAACTTGCTGCACTCTATGTTATCGTTCATGTCTCCCATCTGAGCAGTGTTGAGTTTACGGTATGTGTGATGTGTCTGCCAGATTATTAACATTCATGTCATTAAAAGTGTGCCCTGTATTGACACTCAATGTAACGATCAGCCTCACATGTGTGTTTCAAAAATCTTTGAAATAGGGTGCCAATTTAGGAATTAAATGCGAACTGCAAAATTGGAATAAAGGTGATTGTTAACTGGCCTTTTAATGCAAAGAATTCCAAATAGATTGCCGAAAGAGAATGAAAAAGAATCATCTAATGCTCTTGGGATACCTGTTTAAGTGTATAAGGCCCCGTCCAGACTATCAAATTTTATTTGTTAAAAACATGTGACATGCCTAAATATGGTCATGATGACATCACATCATGACCATATATAGGCACATCGTGACTATATATGGGCATAATGTGGACAGTGCTAAATGTTAACCTTACTTTACATCCAGCCATTGTTAATGAACAGCAGCGGAGCTAGGATTTTCCCAACGGCAGGGCAACGTCCTCAACAGGTCCCCGACAGGCACGGCAAGAGTTGTACTTTGGCACTACATGCCATCCGAATGAGGGTTTGGGAGGGGTTTCCCTGAGAATTTTCTTTTATAATACAACTTTATAACACAAGGTTATTATGTATGTTGCATAAAATTATTAACTGTAATACATGTCATTGCATCTCTATTACCCAAAGGGCATATAAGATTATTATAATAGACTTTAAATTTAAATTCAGTTTTCAACTCTTCTGTGTTCATGGCTCTTACACGTGTTATGCCTGGACGCTGATTGGTCAGTTGAATCAGGGAGCTTTCTTAATTGCGTCGGGAACAGCTACGCAGTGCAAAGATTGCAGTGAAAACGTGACTGTGTAGCGATTGTATGGAAACTAGGTTTTAGCTCAGAGAAGGTACGCAGTACTGTCTGTAGCTATATGAATAGTAACTCAAATACTAAATGGCTAAATCTAATTGGGGGGGGGGCAGGTGGGGTGGCAAAGTCCACTTAAAATAGATAAGTAAAATCAAAAATAGAAATTTAATTATTCCGGACACAACCCAGGATTTTGCAATACCCGGGCTAGAAACTTCCGAGTTGCGGTTGGTGTAAACGTAAAAAATACAACCTGGGTTGCCAAACATCCCGGGATCAATGTGCGGGACGCATTCAGCGTTAGACAACCCGGAACCTGGGTGCATTCCGGAATCGCCAGTTTAAGCAACACTGAATTTAATTCCGGGGTTAAGACTTACCTGGCGCCTATCGCAGCTGTGGTTAGGTAGGCCTAAACTTTGCCAGCAATAGGCAAGACCTACAGTAACACTTTTCAAATGAAACATATGCACTCCGGTATAGACTTGATATCAAAACTGTTAATTTAATTCGCATAATTTAGAAACAATCTGATGTACATTGCTTCAATATTGACAACAATTGCGGCTTCGGCACGACAAGGAACTCGGGCGAAGTAATGATCACCATCGCAACAAAAATTAAAGGCAGTATTTGAACCCGAGTTCATTTTCGGTGTAAAATGGGAGCAACCCGGATTTTTCATTTGATGTAAATGGGAAAAGCACCTGGGATCACTCCGGAATTAACATGGGTTTATTCTGCCCTTGGCAGTGTAAAATGGGTAATAGAATGTTTTTGGGTTGCAACAGATAATTGATGCATAAATCCTACTAGGTATGTATGTCAAAGATATAATCAATCTGATGAGATATTGTTCTAGTGACACACAGCATTTTAGCTGTAATAAGCTAGATACTGTACACTAAAAGCAATGTTAGCTGTGAACTTGCCATAAGCTTTCCATTACTGTATATTTTTCAGAGCATGTACATTATTATTTCATCAGTAAGCAATTCTAGAAAAGTAATACTATGCCACAAGTAATTTGAAAAGGGGTTCGATCTGTAAGCTAGATACTTTAGTGAGACTAATGAAATCCTTGACTTTTCCACGACCTTTCCCTATTTACCTTATTTTCCGGGGTATACATTTATTATTACATCAGTAGAAGTTGTAAGTGAAAATAATACCTATGCCACTAGCCATTTGAATCAGATTCATGCTGTAATCACAGATGTATGTCATTGAATACTTGATAATGTGGACATAGCATTTAGTGATATGAATTTTTACTGAGCTTCTAAACGTCTATCAATACGCTTTAGTCAGAAAACATTACAAAATACAACAAAATGTACGGTAGAACGGCCATAGGCTGAATTTTGGTTATCGTCAATAAATAATATTTTATATTGTTTATGTATTATATCGTACATTACTGTACTGCAATATGCATGGTAATTTTTGTATTGGGAATTTATGGAAATCGTTGCACTTGCTATAAATAATAAATTTTCATTGAATTCTATTGTTGTTGAGTAGTCCTTTGTTTGTGCCATGGATGGTTGATCCTCAGAGACCGTGCACGTTGTGCCACCGCACCGTTGCCTTTTTTTTAAAATACATTTATTTATTTTTTATTTTTTTTAATAAACTTCTCACTCACAAAAATACAAAAGTGACGGAGACAAGCAAACAGGTGACGAACACCTCTACAATGGCTCGCTCCTTACAATTGAAATACAAAAATAGAAATGTAGTCTATATAAAATAATACAGTAGTACACACACCGAAACAATAACATTCTAAAAAAGAGATGAAAAACTTTGGGAAATGAAGGAAAAACAACCACGACAACAATAAAGGAATAAGAAAAATTGTAAAAATGAATAATGGAAATCAAAATTAACACTGAAAATATAAAAATCGTTTAAAAATGAAATTGTCACTGTAAATTGAACATTTTCAACATTAAAATATATATAATTAATAATAAAAACAATAAAAATAATGTAGACAACAAAAATAATAAAATTTATGGCAAAATAAAAACAAGACCACATTTTAGCTGATGTAAAGTGCATAGAAGCAGTCCTTACAATATGTGCGTTATGAATGGTAAATTATTATTATAACAATCAAGTCATCATTATGCTATATTAGGGTTGTGTTTGTTTAGTCACATTACCATGGTATCATACAAAAGTTATTTTATATCGGTCTGCAAGATGATTTTAAACTATAATTTTTTCATGCTGAAGCTTTAATATTAACTTTAATAGAAATGCAAGAGAGAGAGAGTCAGAATCGGAAACTAAATGAAGAAACAACCTTATATCAGAACTACCGGAACAATAGTCGTCATCAAATTATTTACTGGAAATATATCCAGTACAGGATCTACCAGTACATTATTTAACAGCTTGCGGCTATTGTATGGTAGTGTGGATCTAACTGCCTAAAAGAAAAAAACTATATACAACATTACATTTGAATAACAAAATATGGTGAATATGGTACTGACCTTGAATGCGCAATCCACCAAACATTTTTTTAAAGTAATTGTCCTCTTTAATCAAGCCTCGGCTCAAATCCCGTCTTTTGGTTTCTCAATGATATTGAAATACGTGCTTTACCATAGCCATCGCAGCAATGCCCCACTTAATAGAGATAATTTTTGTTTTGGAAAAAATTTGCAAAGCTTTATCTAGAGAAAAACACTGCAGTACAATATATCTTCATGTTTCGATGCCCCCAACGTGGGTTCAGATTTCCCAGACGACGGAAAATCAATTAAAAGGTTTCGAAGTGGTTCAGGGGGCGGAGCCCCAGAAAATTTTAATTATTTAGGGATTTCAAAGGCTCATTTATTCGATTTTAGAGTCTACCAAATATGTAGAAAATACATAAAAAAAATGTTTTCTCCCCGATGAATTGTGCTTTTTCTCCCCGACGGGGAAGGGGGCCCAGCACTCCCCAACGGGGGTGGAGGCACTGGATCCCCAGCCCCCCGCTGGCGCCACCCCTGACGCATCCTCGCTGACTGGTTGACAGTGATGCTGTTCACACTGAAAGAGCAAGCACACTGGCTCTACCAAAGCAATAGAGTACCACAGTTGTGTCGTCACGCTCTCTGTTGTCAACAGACGTTGGTTACCGTTCATTATGCCTGAATGACTTCATAGGCTTTCTGGAATACGCATTTTAAAATTTTATATTTTACCATCAAAATGTACTAAACACACAAAAACTCGCATTATATTAGTTATTGAACACACATTTAATCATTGATTAAAATTTACAAAGAAAAAGTAAGATACAACATCTTAATAATTACGTTAGAAATTGGGATCAATGGTTTGTTAGTGGCGAAAATGGCGTCGGGTTGAACGCATTTTGCAACAAAAGCAACGGAGTAGTATCACGCAGTATCGTGACGTAACACTGTAGTACTCTATATCTAATATTTAAATATATAACAATTAAACATGATTATAAGGGTTAATTACAGGTATATATATCTTACAGAATTTATCAAAATAATACCAAGTGTGGTGTGTTGTGAAAAAATATTGTCGAGTAAGTAATGAATTTTTAGGTCAGTCGAGCCATTGTGCCAGTGTGCCTGTAGGTTGTTTTTTAATGGGGAGGCTATTTAATTTTGAAGTTGTTCTGTGTAGTGGAAATATTGTAGGTAACCTATAAATTTGTGACTTATAATATTTTCTCCAAAATTGTGAAATAACATTTGTTTTTCTTTAATTCTCCACTATTGCGTGTATCAAGAAAATCATGTATTCTTGACACAATTAAGTTTTATTGTATATCATAAACAGATAGGCCTATGTAGAACAAAGCATTTTGGTACTTCAATAACTTTTCATAATCGTCAGCCTTCAATAAGCACCACAATAAAACCTCCAAAAATGTTATCAGTGCATTATATTCGGTCATTCATTGTACACTACCAGTTTAAGTTAGGAAAATTTTAGGATAAATAGGACATGAACTGCCATTCGCTCCAAGCATAGGCATGAACGCCTTATGGTTACAAGTGTTTACTTCTTGTTATTTTTTTTTATAGGTACAACTATGTAAAAGAAGTTTGAAGAAAGATGGGGTTTCTGCAAAAGCAATTAATAATAGTGTTTTTGGTTACCTTCATAATTGAAGTTGCAGCTCTCTGTTGTAAGTAATCATTTAATCTTATAATCTGGTTCCATAAAGTATAAAATTATCTGATTTGTCAACCAACCAATTAGTTGGTCAACTAGCCTATTAGAAGAATGTGGCTGAAGGAGTTGATGAAACCGTTGCTAAGGTAAGCAACTAACTGGTTCAACAAAACAGGTAATTTTATAATATTCTCAAAGAATTTCATTTTTTAATTTCTCAAGAAATAAAAAAACATCCTGCTTTAATTTCTAGTTGAAAGCTGATGCAAAGTAATTTTGATCTGTTCAAGTGTGTCAGCCTAACACATAGTAATGAGTTTGTTATTCCAGGTTAATTGTTAATTTAATTCAGCTGTAAATATGACTTGCTATTGTATTTGTGGCATGCATGGTAAAATGGCTAAGTTGTTGCAGGGCTAGTTATTGAATAAATGAGCTATAGAATTTAGGACCTCATAAAATGGCCTAAAAATTTAGTTTTATCTGTAGATTGATGGTTAAATATCAAATTAATATAAGTTTTCTTTAGTTCTAGAAATGCATGGTCAACAAACTTGGTAGTTAATTTCACAACATTGTTTATATTTTTTCTTTGATATATATAACAATTTTTATGAGGATAACAGAAATGTCAAATTGAACTACTGTAAGTTTTGGTTTCAGATCTGTAGGCTATATGTTACATTTATCTTATATTATAATACTGTATACAGAATCATGATATTGTAGATTAGAGAATAACGTAACATACTAATTTCTCCTTTTACAGATCTGCATTTAGTGTGAAAGTTGCACAAAATCTTGTGTTGCCGCAGTCCAGCCCACATATGTGAAATGTATTTAAAAGTCGCCCATTCTTTACTGCATTGGGCTCATGTACAACACAATAGTAGAATATACTCTGTATTTTACTAAATAAATGTACTATGAAATAGATTGCCTAAAAAAAACAATAATTTTGTCTATTAAATTTATGTATCCTGCTTCTGTTATGTGTTATGTGCCATCTCACCTCTTCCCCCAACCATAGGTGGTGTGGACTTCCCCCTGTAAGTGTTGCACATTTTTTTTTTTCATAACCTTGACAGGTCTGCTTTCAATTGTGTTTAATTTTCTTCATTCTTTTCTTGATAGGTTCTGGCACCTTGATAGCACTTATCCTACGTTGTCACCTTATAAATGTCCTCAATAATTACTACTATTACAGTGCGTGGTTGAGCATATTTTTCTTTATACCGACATTAATGATCCCAATTTGATTGCAATAATAATACTTATGTAACATCAATCATGATTTATTACTGCCCTAAGTCAGTATAATTCGATAATCGTCTTGTCGCACATTAATCATCCACAAAAACATAATACATAATCATTTAACAGTACTTTTCTCCGAGTTCTGTATACTGGCAGTTTACATACAGTAACTCAATTAGAACTTCTGTTAATGTGAAAGTCTGTTGTGCAGAGCGTAGTAGGTAATTTTGTTGGAGTGATTAGTCTGCATTCATTGAGGGAAAGCTTTTAACAGATAAAAGTGAGAGAATCCAGAAAGTTTCCAATTAGGAATACATCCAACAAATTATTTGTATCGAAATCTACAGAACATCCAGACATATTGTCTTTAGGAGAAGGGGGAGTCAAAGGGTGGAAATTGTTTCCAGTAGAAGGCCTAGAGAAAAGGGCAGTGTGCCTAGAAGGACAATATATATTCAATTCAATTCAATTCAACTCATTTATTCACCTGAACAGATAACAATAAGAACACACCAAAAAACAGACAAAGAGGAGGCATGCTTCCCCAAAAGAGATTCAAATCTCTATCGAGTGGGTCGCCAAACACAATAAATATAAAAGATATAAGAGATAAAAAAATTCATATAAAAATACAAAACATTTTTTAATAATAAAAATAAAAATGATAAAATACTCTATAAAACAATTAAAAATTTCACAAAACACACAAAAAAAAGTTTTGTCAAAATTTGCCAGCCTTACGTCTCCCGAAAATGCTCTATAAGTTTATTTAAAAAAGGCCTGATACCAAACAAAAGCATGTCTCTTTGGGTAAACTATCCCATGTACGATCGGAATGGAATTAAAAACAGAAAACTTAAACGAATTAGTACGAGAATAAGTATGAACAAACTTAAGATTAAACAAGTGCCTAGGGTTGATAGTAATGTATTTAAAGATATCAAAGGAAAATATACCATAGAGAGATTTGGAAATGAAAGAGAAACAGAGAAATTTAAATTGATTTCAACAGAAGTGAGACAGAGGATTTTAAATCTTTGTACATAGGATAGTTCACCCCTTTGGGTCGGGGAAAATGTGGTCATTCTCCATTGGATGTGTTCTAACGCTTGTAGGTGACCCTCCTGGTGTGGATACCAAGCCCTCATTAGCCCTCATTTAATTGGAGATCAGAAATTTGGGCTGGGGACCTGCGGCAGACAGTGCAGCGCCAGCCTACTATATAAATGGACACTAACGGATACAAAAAAGTCCTTAACCCGCCTAACTCTCTATATGATGGTTATTCGAGGAGCCAAGTGGTCAGACTCCAATTAAAACCCAAGTTTGAACCAAGGTCTTCAATAGGAACAAAATTACCTCTTAGCCATCCGCTCAGCTAAAGGACAGAGAAGTGTCAAGAGGTTACATAATACTGCAGTATAAACAGTAACTTTTATCATCTTCATTTTTATAATAACCTGAAAATAGTTCACCAACTTCATGGGATGTGGTTGTGTGTGCCTGTGAGGAAAATGTCAGTAGAAAATGAAAGTTGTGTGCAGAGTGAATACTAGTAGAATGGAAAAGGTTTGACCTGTGTCAAGAGAAAGAATAACTAATAATAGTAAAAAGAGGCAGTCAATGCAGAGAAAACTTTAGTAGAGAAATGGATTTATGTTGTGAGGTATTTTGTGTGCAAAATAAGAATAGTTAAACAGCAATAATCGTATTAACAAATTGTTATAAGCTGTGATTCATTTATTCATTCCTTTTTTCGTTTTCTTCCCTTTTTGATTTGGCGGAAAAAGTTTGCCACTTCCATTCTAGACATAAAAAAGGTCTGGAATTTTTCTCAAAAATATTAAAATAATTCCACTTACTAATTACCACATACTGTAAGACATCACACACTGTGTAATTGGTTAGCCTACAGGCTGTTGCATGGTGTTAAATATGGAAAACAAATTATTCTTTTTAGTTTCATCTTTTTAGTTTCATGATTCAAGGTTAACAAAAAATCATATATATTTATGTTCCGTAATAAAAATAAAATACAAAGAGGCTACTGTTATATAATTGTTGATATAATCATGACTAATGACATTTCAGCTTGAATTTGTTAGATTTCACAGTACATGCATATATATTGTTCTTTTTTTTTTTATAAAGATTCAATTCAATTAATATCGTTATGCTATTATTACACAACACTGTAGCTTATGTACAATCACGCACCAACTGGAGCATTAAAGGTCGTATGGATTAAGAATTGCTGTACACTTTTGCTCAAAGCAGCACTTTGTTTAGGAATGGCGTAACGACTCATTTTTCACCCCTTTCTCCTCAGTATTTAAATTAAAAACTCTATCTTATAAACTACTCCCAAGTTTTTTTGTCAAATATGGTTTTTGTGTCTTAAAAAAATCAGTTGTACAGTACATCACGTCAAACATTTTTTTTCCCTCTGGAACCTGGCTTTAACAGCATAGTCTTCTTTAAACACATGCTTAAGAGCAGGCTCTGTTGTTTTACTCAAGCTTCTTTATTAAACATGCATCATCGTTTTTAGAATAGATTTAATGAAAATACATTATCTTGGTACAGTACAAACATTTTCTAATCACCTTGCTCTGCTTAATGAAGCCTGGTTTCCATAAAATCGCTCAGTCGCCGATATTTGTCGGGAAGGTTTAACCTGGTTCAAACTTGCCGATTGTGTTGCAGACGAATCAGGATGCATTGCTACAGTAGCTGCCCTGACACATATCAGGAAGGCACACCGATTCGTCTCCAATGCAGTCGGCAAAGTAGAACCAGGTTCTCAACCTTTCCAAAAATTATCGGCGACTGTCGCCAATAGGGCGAGCGATTCTATGAAAACCGAGCTTGACTGTAAACATGCACAGATTAAATTTTGTCTGAGGATATCCACCACAAAATTTATGTTTGTATAGATGGACTTTAGAGAGTCACTTATATGTGCTGAGTATACATCCTGGTTATCCTTTGTGTGATTCACACTGAAATACTTATTTATGTTTTATTTATGTTTATGTTTAAAGATTTTATTATTTATTATCATTATAATGCTGGACTAATTTACTGTAGACTCTATTAAATGTTCACTACTTATAAAGCACAGTATTTCAAGTCTTCTCGGATAAGGACTGTAAACAGTAGGCCCTGTGTACACATTTTGGCTCTTGTGCACTTAAAAACCCAGTACATCTTTCGAGACGAGTAGGGGGGTTACCCTGGTGTACTGGCCCGTGTTGTGGACAGACCCAGTACATTTTTCGAGACGAGTAGGGGGGTTACCCTGGTGTACTGGTCCGTGTTTTGGACAGACAAGAGCTGCTAGCTGGTACCGGTTTACCGGGTAGCTCAGACAGGGGAGAAGAGAATTACTGTACAAGCTAGTCCACACCTCGAGTGCTGTGAGACTCCGGTATAAAGCGTTATATAAATCAAACCACTGTACATTACATTTCATTGATATGGAAAATATGTCAATGTTCCGCAAACTAACGGTCACGACCCACCAGTGGGCTGCGACACAATTTTGGTGGGTCACAAACTTGATAGAAACCATCAGCAAGTCAACCACTATAATTACATGAAAACATGTTATTGTGTAATATAATATTCAGTGTTAAACTTTAACTGTATACCATTAGATTTTATTAAAATTTAATAACACCTACGTAAAAAAAACCCAGTAAAATCGGAGCGTGTAAATACAATAAAATGAAACACATGTTGCATAACGTAAGGACGATGTATGCTTGGCTTTTCCCACTTCTGCATTGGAGTCAGTGGGTCGCAACTCTATTTTAAATTTCCTAGAGTAAGGCCAAATAAAGAAAAAAAAATGTGTGCGCCACGCCCGATCGTCCCAAATTTGACGAAATTCAAGGTCGTCATTTTAACATTTTTAAAAATTTTACTTGACTACAACGAACAATATGTTTTATGAGCTAATAAGCCTGGAATAGCCTTGGCCAGGCCAGGCGGACAAGTCTTATCCTATTCTGCTTAATGGATGCAAATCTAAAATCGTTGTATTTGTGTATTTTCTACTTTTCAGGTGTAAACACATTTTTGGTTGTTAAAAAAAAAAAGTTTTCCTACAGACCTACCAATTTTTTAGATTTTCCCAAAAAATTTGTTTTTTTGGCCTAATTGGGTTGTCAGTCATTTCTTCTCAAAAAAATATGTAATTTTTGTTATTGTGTTTACATTACCCAGTGCGTGTCTCTAATCATGTGCAAACATTTTTTGTTATAATATTATATTAATAGTGCATGACCATCACCATTATCAATATCAAGTGCTATTATGAATGAACAAACATTTATATATATCAGCTGATATGTGTATATTAAATAACATGCAAAATATTCCATGACTTGCTAATCTCTCTATGTAATATTGTATCATTGCTAAAAATAAATCAAAGTTTATGGAATATCAAAATACAGTCTGAAGTGATCCACCATTAGAAGAGTTCATTAAACTTAATTTGAATTCATTTAAAAGCAGACACTGGATTTGATTATTTAAGGCTGGTGCAATATTATGGTTTGTACTCACTATAATAAGTATGTGATTTTGCCCATATTATTGGATAGGATCCTGTAAAATAATATTCATAAGCAAATCAAAAGTATTTTTCACAGGAAACTTGATAGTCGGACAGACTTTAAAATACTTCTCAAAAGGAAATGGTGGTACTAGTGCATCTCGGATACAAGTAATTAGATCATGTTGGAGCATAGATAGGGCTAGGATGTATTTTGAAATAGAATACCAACCAAGATTAGTATTAATTGAACAAAACTCGTTTTACAATTAATGCTTTAAAGTGTGTTTTCCTAGAATTCATTTTGCCTACGATCAACAACTTAAAATCCCATCGGTGACATAATGTACTTTGTTAATTAAAGCATTTTGAAAACTATAAAATAATGGGGAGAAAGAAAATTTCATTAAAATGTGAGTTTGAGATTGTCATTTCTAGCCAGGCTTCCAAGTCATAGAATTACAGGCCTCTGCCTGAAGTATTCTGGGACCATCCTTCCAAATCCCCCTCTGTTTCTAATCTCTGTATTCGCCATGCTGAACTTTAGTTTTCCTCTGAAAATTATTTTTGTTACCGGTAATTTGATGTACTTTGATGACTGTATTTGATTGACATATTTGCTGGTATTGTTTTAACCGTAGTACTTGAATATAGTCTTGTAATGTATCGTATTTGCGGGAAACATCAAACAATGTTAATGTTAATGTTTGATCCATGCTATACTGACCCATTGTATTTGATTGTACAGGATTTTAATTTTTTCATCTGTGTGAAGATCAGTGGTGGATTCAAATGGGGACCTAGTCAAAAAAAACAAAAAAAAATGTAGAAAAAAGAACAATATATTCAAATTTAATTCAGAGTGCTATTTCTGGCCATCTAGAAGTGCCTTATGATACTTTTTCTTACTGCAACTCCCACAGAGGCTTCTAGCATTTGAAAACTGTCAAACATTTAAAATCACAGTACTGCAATATTAAAATGGTTGTTTAAGGGGTACAGTATTTGCGAGCTATTTTCACCAAAATTTAAGTTAGAACCAATTCTTATATGTACCTAGAAATCTAGCAGTAATGGGGTTGAATCATAGCACTGTTAATTAATATGTCCATAGTCATGCACAATATGTTTACATCTATAGCACCTGGAAAATATTAAGAATTTTAATTCATATTTTTATTTTAAATATAATGTATTTCTCTTATAGAATGTTCTTATTTTACCTTCCAGCTTCGAAGAATCTGAAGTGTCAGGGAGTGAACTTTACTTCCGTACGCTGCAGCTGGGATCGTCCATCAATCAACAAAACCTATACAGTGCAATGGACATTGTAAGAATGATATCTGAATATAAAGTATTGTTCTTTTTAAAGTCAACATTTCCCTCAATGAGACAACTTTTTTTAGATACCTTGTTTAGATGAGACTTTTTTATACCTTGTTTCGCGAACTCATTTTTTAATGTTTTTTTATAGATTGTCAGAGGAGGGTGGAAAAAATTTAAAATAACATTTTGTTCTCTTATTTAGCAAATAATTTTGCCAAAAACATCCAGACAGAGGAGAAAATAAAAATTAATTTTATTGGTGAACGTAAACAGTGTAGTAATTGGCTGGCTATTATGCTTTTAATTCATATAATTAGGAAGAAATATACTATCTGAAATTTCCTGTCTTTAGTGGTTGCGCTAATTGGCCAAAAATAAGATTTTAATTGAAATCATCACTTTGGGAAAATTCCAGTTTTGTTTTTTCAATTAACTTTTTCAAAATTTTCCATCTATTTTCACTTTAAGCAAATAGAACTATGCACTCTCAATGACAATGTAAAAAGAAAAACCTCCCTCCTTCAGTTTTTTTCTTGAATATGGTGATAAACTACTAAATTTTTATGAGGCCTTAGCGACTTTCAGGTTTTTTTTTTAACAGTCCTCAGAAGAGGTTATCTGAAATTAAGTTTTGGTTTTTCATATTTACCAATAGTTTTTTTCCAAAATAATTTAGGCAGTTAAGTTTAAAATTATAATTTTATTGACAAATTTTTAAAAAAGTGAGTTTGTGAGGTAGGAACAGGAATAGAGAGTGCTCTTTGGCTCTGATTTTGTATCCTATCATATGGTTTGAAAGAATGAAATGCTACGATATAAACTATGTAGTAGTTGGATTGTTAAGTGGTTTTAATTTTTTATACTGTAATATATTTATATAATTAAGGAAGAAATAAAAAGTTGTGATTTTGGAGATTTCTTGGCAGTAGCCCTAGGAATAGAAATAAATGATTTATATTAAGGAATAATAATTTATAGAGGAAGTCAATCCATTTTTATAGTGACTGCAACATTAAGTGCATTTTTGTAAGAATAAAATAAAATGCAAGTCTACAACAGCAGGGGTGGGCATAAAAATTGGTTGGAGGGCCAAAGTGAATTTTTGATTTAACACCAAGGGCCGCAACCAAACTTCAATGTTCCTAGTGTGTTCCAAAAACCTTGCACTGCTTTACACTGCTTTATTTTCAGTTTTAATATTACTTTTTACATGTGATTGGTGTCGGGCAGTAAAAAAACAAAGGTTTTTCTAGCCAATGTGGCTTGGCGGCCCCACACAGGGATTTTAATTTATTTTTGTGGGCAGCAAAAAATTCGTTGTCAGGCCGCACTTCGATCACCTGTGGTCTACAGTAATTTGGGGAGGTGTATTTAGGAAGATCAAGTAGAAGTAACAGTGGTGTAGGAAAAGTAGATGAAGAGGTGGTAGAGAAAGGTAGAATGGGATTTAGAGGATGAAGATAGTGTTATGTGGCACAAATTCAAATTTTATTTAAATCTGTTGGAATTATTATGTGTCACTTATTGCATCTCTTTTGTATTGTGCATTAACATTATATTATACCATTCACCTCCATTTTGAATTTTGAAGTAAAACTTCTCTGCACCTTGGTTACCATTTACAAATTATTCTTTTTCAGAGATTTGTCAACTAGGGTATGTGAGGGCTCCAAAATGATCAACGGGACTTATATTTGCGACATACATGACCTGGGATATGGCAACTATAGGCACATTCAACTAAGAGTGAAATCTCATTCAGACAATCAAACTATGGTCTTCATTAATAACTATTCAGCCAAAGAATGTGGTGAGAATTTATCTGTTATAAGAATAATAATAAAAATGGTTTTTATTTTAACATCTGAAGACCTTTACTTTTGTTATTGGATTCTTATGCAATGCTCTGTACATCAAACACATTCAATACCACAGCATTGATCGCTTACACTTCTGAGGGGTCGAGCGAAACATGTTTAGATAAAGTTTTTTTTGTACCCAAGTGCTGTACACAAGCAAAATGTTCTCCAGCAATAAAAGTGGGGTGTTGCATTTAGGCGGTCAAGAAGATGCTTACTTCTAATCCCAAAGTTCCATGTTCAACTCATGTGACTGACTTTTCTCTCATGCTCCACTACTAAGTCCTATTAGAAAATTTGACTTGTTTGATCAAACAAGGTACACTGTAGGTAGACATATCTTAATAAATTAACAGAAATGCTATCACTTGCCAATAAAAACTAAAACACTTTTTTTAAGGTACAGTGTAATATTTCAGCAGTTGCATTTTATTATAAATAATAGGTGGGGATGTTTTTCAGGTAATTTTTTTTGTATATGGATGAAATTTTTTTTATTATTATTTTAATATAAAAAAAAAAAATTCAGTGTTTAAAATTTGTTAATAAGATTTGAAAATAACAAAAACATTTGCATAGTATTTAGTACTAGTCTTTTTTTTTTGGCACATACCAGTAGAAATAAACATTGCATGACAACATATAAGTTGCCAACAAATATATAATCCTTATATAAATGTAGCTTATGTAGAAATAAAAATGGATGAGAAAAACAAACAACTGAATTCAAACATTACAAAATAAAATAGAACATTTAAAAATTTAGTTTCACAAAAAAATAAAATGCTAACGTTTGATTTAAATATTAATATTAACAAAATATCAATTAACAGTAACACAGACACTATAGAGTATCATTACATCACAGTACCATATGATACCATTTTGTTACTGAGAAAATACCCATAGGCATAGCCATCTATAGCTAGCCAGAGATTATATCATTTTTAAAAACCGTAAATTTTCGAATAAGCGCCGCTCTTGAATAAGCACAGCATCAAACCTGATTCTTTAAAAACAAAGTGCCGCACTTAAATATGCACCACAGTGCTTAATTGAGAGTGTAATAAAACACTTTGAGAAACTGGGTTTTTGAATAAACACAATGAAGACACAAGCATTTCTTTATAAACATTTATTTACATTGACATAGGACTACAGGAATACATGAGATAGGTAACATGAGAACAGGCATGGAAAGCGTCACGCCAATATTTTTTTTATAAGCGCCCCTCTCGAATAAGCGCCCCACTGAGGCCTCCAAAAATTGTATAGGTGCCGCGACACTTATTCGAACATTTACGTTAATGTATCAAAACCTTATAATTTCCAATTAAAAACATGAAAACTTGGTTTATATTTTATTGACACTCACCGAAATTAGGCTAATGAAGCCACTCAAGGTAAGGAGTTAGGTATTTAAAAGAAACTGGTTTACAAGAGATTTAAATATATTATTAGTTATACAATACTTACAAGACACAAGATACAACATGTTTTATTGCCTTCATTAAAAGAAATTTGCCGTTTGGTACAAGATGAAATAATGAACATGGTAATTTATGAGCTGTTTTCAATTGATTTTCAATCTGCCAGTCAACCTTTGGTTGCCAAAAATATTTCCAGCTATAATGATGGGCCAGATGGCACAGTACCGCTTTATATTATTCCCCACATGCGTGTTGAATTCATCAAGACTGGTGTACCATTTTCCGGCTATTTAGATCAGTCCCTGGGTACATCTATTGGATTGTATATTTGTGACCATATCCGACATGTACAGAAGTTAGTAGTTCACAAGAAAATGTGATGTCTTGTGTTGCTTGTGAGTTTGAGATATGGACTCTTGTAATTGGCTGCAGGCCACTTTAGAGTCATGTTTGATGGGGTATAAATCAAAAAGTTTTATTTTAAGTACTGAATTGAGTGCAAAATTTTAATCTACTGGTACTCTAAATGTTAAACTAGTATAGTGAATTTTAGCTTTATAGGTGACTATAGTAAAATGTTGTGAGGATTCAGCAATCAAAGAATTAGAAAAATAATCATATTGGCCACACTTAAGGATGCCACGCCCAACTTTTTAGATGTTTGTATCTCAAAATATATCAGTCCAATCGACTGACATTTACATTTTTCTTCCATGCCTCCATTGATTTGCCATGGAATGACACAACTAATAGATAGTTTATGTTTTATGTTTTTAGTATTATTTTTAAATCATGTTTGTCTTATGTGGATTGTCCGTGACACTCAAATTTACTAACTGAAATGAAGCTGTTAATATGAATGAATGCAATTTTAAATCCAGGGAAATAAGATTTTGATGAACATTTAAAAGCTAATAAAATGGTATTATTTGGATTATTAGCCCTACATTTGGCTTCCAGCTGCAAAAAGTAGGAATTCTGACTGTCAAACGTGAGGGGTCGTCTTATACGCCAGACATACAAAAATCGTCCATATATATACGCGGATCTTCTTATTATGCAAGAATATACGGTTTTTTTCATTTTGGAACAGACTAGAACAATTTAGTATTTCATGTGTTTGACATATGACAATGATATTATCTTTGTACCTTGTATTTTAATATTTTATACATGCATTCTTGCATGAACCAATTTCTACTCTTTTGTTTGATTGGTTGACACAATTACAAATGAAATTGCTTTTCACTTTCTTTGCTAATTATCGGTTTATATAAAAGGTTTCCTTCAGAAATTATTCTTTTACATTACACATAAAAAGAACAGTGTCTCATTATTTAATAGTTGTCGATTACTTCTCTCTGAGGTAAGTTAGATTAAAGATGCTACATAGAGTTTGATTACTATTAAGATTAATCCTTATTCTCCAAAAACCAAAGTCCTTTTAAACAAAATTATTGACTGAATTTGTAACTAAATTTCTGTTGTATGTCTATATATTTATAAATTGATTTTCACTTCATTCATTAACATAAAATATATACAGTAGTTGATCAGAATTTTACTTGTAAACTAGTCTTTTTACCATTTAAAATTATAGGAGTGGGGAATCTTATTTCATATCATGCCATAAAAGATTTACTGAAGATGTAAACAGATCCCAAGGTTTATTAATATATCAATCGAGTTAGTTCTGTTTGATAGATAACTGTGTTTGAAAAAATATCAGCTAATTGTTCCAGCTGTGTTCAGTTTTTATCAGTATAAATGTATTAGGTTATGGCATTGATACACTGATATATAATGATTACTTATATGATTAATATTACTGACCCAGTGGGTCACGAACCCTGCCAAAATGTCTGATACATTATATTCATCCCTACGAGAAGAGACATCAATTTAAATGTAAAAAATGATCCAATCAGTTTCTTAAAGGGGAATAGTTCAGCGCAAGTGTTCTTATATAACAGATGTTATTTATGAGTAGTTAATTCCAGTATCATTGATCACTTTCACACATTAACAACTTTCCCACAGCAAACTTATCACATATGTAGATTGATATCGATACGAGTACAGTAACTGAATGTATATATAGTAGTATTAATACTATAGATAAACATTCATTTATACACTTATGTACCTGTATAAATGTTTGTATAGCATTAGTACCAAAAGAAAAACCTCTCCATTTGCCAAAGAGTCAACAATTTATAAATTGAATAGAGTTCATAGTTAAAAATCAGAATATTAAATATATTCAGTGTAATTGTTCTACTGGTAAGCGTTGATTAAACAGCATACAAAATGAAGTAATAAACATAATAATCTGAATTGTCAATAACAAAATGTCGATGCAGCATGTGTATAGCAGATCATTAGCATCTGTTTAGACAATCTGCCAATTGTATAGTGAAAGAAACTATATAAGCGATTACTTTACAGAATCTATGTCATGCAGAAACATCTAACATATCTCTGTTCTCTGTTTTCTGTTAATTTTATATTAATTTCTATATCTGCCTGTCATTAAAATATTACTTACAAAACCAGATTGACAAAATCAGATGGTTGATTTTGTCTACATTCATAATTCATAGTTAATTTTTTTCACAAAATGAGATGGTAACCAACAAAAATAAATTATCCTTGTACAAGTGTTAGCTACCATTATTATTGTTGTTGCTTTTCATGTCTTTATATGAAATACTTTTTATTACTGTAATAGTCTAGTTGAACTTGTAGGATGGATTTACAGTGTTAGTTCAACATGGTAAATGGCCTTCAATAAAAAAGTGATGATGTTCAAATGACGTAAATTTCCTTCTATTTTACATTTTTATACACTGAGTATGCATATAGTTCACCGTAGAAGATTGTGCAAATCGAAATGATTTAGCGGTCATTATAGTGTATAGATCTTGTATGTCATGCCTTCAGTTATTTTATCTTTTACGGGTACAAAGGGAACAGATAGTGAAATAATTATCAAAATGTTACAAAAAAAAGAGCATTTCTTGTAGTAGTATACCTGTAATGGAAGAGTTAGTTTAGGGTACTTTCATTTCATATGTTAATATTAAAATAATGACATTGACATAGCATTTATTATTAATAAATGTAGCACAACTAAATGCCCTTTGGAAATTTAAGGTTTTAAAGTGAAAAAATCTCTCCTTTTTCATTAACCATGTGTACTGATGAGTTCATATTTCCATAAATTTGAATTTGAATTTCACCATTTGCTGTAGGCCTTTCAACAGTACTTCCGGAAATCATTTGATCGGAAAGCAGTCGGGGTTAAGTTAAATTTTGGCATGATTGAAGGTATCTCTGAAGGTGAAAAATAAAATAATTCTGTCTTTTTACATTCTGAACATCTGAATATTTGTATTTGGTAAAATACTTGCGATACTAGCTGAAATCAAATTCATAAAGGTTAAACAGCAGTCATATCTTAAATGATCGACATACAAAAGTTAACCAAGAATTTATGTACTTCTGTAGTTGTTTTATATACATTGTGTATGCTACAATTTATGTTAAAGCAGTGGTAAATTATACAAATTTACAGACTTATATGACTTTAACACATTATATGGGCCATTTGTGTTCCTTTATATATGTGCCATTTTACTGTATGTGCTGTTTTTAAATGTGCAATTTATATAATGCAGCAATTTATATGCAGCAATTAAATTAATTGGTTCTTTTCCTTTTATTTATGTTTGTATATATGTACATATATTTTTTCTTTTAATTACTGTTCATTTTATTTATATTTCTTATATGCATTTAAAAAAAATTCATTTATGTGGTTCATTTGTAAAATCAGTGCTGCGTCAATAAATGTGCTATCAGTTTAAAGACAGAATAAATAAATAAATATGCTCCAATCTACAGTGAACCATTTTGATATGCACTATGTTTACACTTGCCAAATTCTCTGCATCGTTTTGTTTTTTCTTAGCCATTCCAAACCCACCCAATGATGTCCAAGTGAAACCTGTGTCCAGTAACTCTTTTCAAGTAACGTGGGAGGTTCCAAAAGATTGGCCTGTGGCAAAAGAGAACCTACTCACATACCTAATCCGATATCGTTCGCAGTTTAACCCACCTGACAAATGGGAAGAGGTAAGAGGGGTTAAGATTTGGAAAACGTTTAAAGATTCAAAACATTGGAATGATCAGTTTAAAATAATTACATACCGTAAAACCTCGAATTGAAGCCCTGGGCTTCTTCTTTCTTTTTGCTAACTTTGGATGGGCTTCTTTTTAAGATGGGCTACTTTTAGAGATGGGCTTCTTTTCGAGACTACTTTTGCAAAGTAAAGAGGGGTGGGGGGAGGGCTTCTTTTCAAAATGAATGCTGTAAATTTTGTGAATTTGTACAATTAAACGATAAATAAGTCATTTTAACATCAATCTCTGTATGATGGAGTGTATTTAATAATTTGCATTAACTCACCTAAACTAATGTATAAACCAAGCTTGTTTTTAATTTATTTTGCTTTCTGAAATTCATGCACAATGTATGTACTGTACTATCTCAAAAAGAATCCGTGCTATTTTGAAAAGAAGCCCATGGATTTCTTTTTGCGATGGGCTTCTTTTTGGGGCTAATTTTGCAAACTAAAGAGGGAGGTTTCAATTCGAGATGGGCTTCATCTCGAGATTAAGCCCACTGGGCTTCAATTCAAGGTTTTACTGTAAGTTATCAACTTCATTTGGAACACAAGTTAAAACAGTGTTTATTGATTTAGAGACTTTCTACTTCCAATCTGTCAATGAATCAATCAACAGATATTTGTAAAGCACCAATATCCACAGCATAAATAATGTTCAGTGCTACTATGATGCAACCATTACTCAAGTAATTTAGGATTTGAAATCCTAAATTGATTACCAACATAGAACAACATAGTATGTTTTGCTATGAAAATTATTTTCTGACTTTCAATTTTCAGGTTATTAGTTAATCATTAGTTAGTTTAAATAAAATTGTCATTTGTTTATTTTTCAATGTTTACAAAAAAAAAAAATTTGGATGAACTGAATAAATCTAAACTAAAGGGTAATAATAACTTAAATATACACAGTATATAATTTAAATATTCATCAAAATGAATAGGAAGTGTAGCCATGTTAGTCTAACTCAGCATTTTAAAGATGAACAATAAATGTATTTAAATCCTCTAGCTCGTAGACTGTCTGCAGGAGAGCCACCTGTACACATACTGTATATCTTAAAGTTTGTGTTAAAATTGTGAGTGATTGACACGCCAGTCTAGTTTGCCGACCATCTCTGACTGCGCAAACTAGACTGACCAATTTATATTTTGATATACAGTATATACTCGGGCACCAAATAAATTTACTGATATTGAAGAAGATAAGTGTCTGGTGGTAAAACTATTTTTGTGGAGTAAAAATATGTCAACTTCACAATGAATGCGCATGAAAATGTGAAGAGAACAAGAAGATATACATTTTAAAACCCCAATGGGATGCCTTGAAAAAGAAATATACACCAGCTGCATATTATAGGAAATGGGAATGGGTGGGTGGGAAACAATTCAACTTTACTTGGATGATTAACCTAAAATGATTAAAGCCTGATGGGTATGAGGAATATGACCTCTGAACTCTGTCGTTCAAAACAAGGATCAAGTGTTTAATGGCTTTCATTTATGACATTACAAAACCACCAACTAAATTGGAAGATACTGAAGTAATAAAATTTTGTAAATTGTGAATTTTTACTTTTGTGAGGTCTGATCTGTTCATATGGAGTGACAGAGGGAACACTATTATGTAGTTGTGGCTGCATAGAAATTGGCTTGTATGGTCTGAGGTAATCCTTAGATTTCAGGCTGCAGTGATGCACTAGGCTATCACTGAAATTGTTCACAAAACAACATAATACAAGATTATGAATGAATTGGGGGTTCAAGTCAAGTAGATAAAAATATATAAACCAAATATCAAAGGACCTACAATTTCATACATTTCAGGCAGGAGTGAAAATATTTCTGGATGGTTAAAATTTGCTTGAAAATCTTATGGTTAAAGTTTGCTTAAAAATAATCAATTTGAGACAAATAAATATGTGATGTTTACTTGAAAATGACTGACCTGAAATATTGACAAAAGATGAAAATGACATTCAAACTTTGTCATTTAATCAAAACAAAATTGAGCCTTACTCTTGTTTGCTCAGAATTTGCCTTTTTTATTGGATGTAAAAGAAATATTAATGTTGTATATCCTACAAATTTGTATCCAATAAAAATTGTACATATTTTTTAAGTTGTAGAAGCAATAGTATTACTGTATACTGTACATGGTCTGGTGGTTTGGAAAGAGTTTGCTTAATACCAGGTGTCTATGCATAGTAAATAATACCATGATAATACACAGTCTCTTTAATCCATGGTCTATGCATTGTAGATTAAATTATATATGACAAGATGAACATGATAAAGTCAATTACAAAATTTGTAATAGATAAAACCATTATCGCTCCAGCTTGATTGTGAATATTATCACTTATCTGTTGGCATTTTGTTACTACGGTAATGAAGTACACCTGCCTAGAATATTGAATTCCTTGTCAGTAATATACGATGTAATTAAATTTTTTTTTTTTTATGTACTAGATTCAGGGTAGCCGTGTCCGAGGCCCTCCTTACGCGCTTAAAGTGACCAGCCTTCTGTATCACTGTTCCATCTACTACATCAAGATCATTGGTAAAACTTTCGGTGCGACAGGGAAGCAAAGTGCATGGTCGAATGTAGTGTCTGTAAAAACAGTTCAGCTAGGTATTTCAGAAAAAAATTGTCAATTTTTATTTAATTGTGGGCAATGTTTTAATTTGGAGATGTGGCAATTTCAGCTATAACGTCCAACTAATTATTAACTATTAATAGAATTCAGTTAGTATGTCATTGTCTCACATCAGAATTTATCTAATGACTCAAATATTAATAAAGAGTAATTAATAATATATATTTTAAATCTTAGCAATGAAAAATAGTAGAATACAGATTACTTAATACATAACTAATTAATATATACTAACTTAAATCTTATTCATGCTCTCTGAGACATCTATTTAGATAGGGTTTGTGGTTCGGTCCACCTGTTCTTGTCGCTTGTATGTTGTATATCACCCCATGTAAGATTTATTCCACGAGGTCTGCTATCGCAGTCTAACGCCAGGTGTTTTTCCTTCCTTCCATATTTACTCTTTCCAGGTGATTTACTTTTCATTTCAGTTTTTGAAGATACAGCTATTATCATCGGTTTCAATGGTGGATCCAGGAATATAAAATAGAGGGGCCCGGTCCAGGGACCTTATGTATATCTTTTTTACTATGCTATGAAATCCCTTCCAACTGTAAAACTAAAAGAATGTTTGTTTAATATAAGAATGAGAGTTTACACAAATAAGATGAAAGAAAAATTGTGTTCACCATGTGTACTATTACTGATTAAATTAATCTGTCCGTGTTTGGAATGTTTTTGTAAAGTAAACATTTTATCTCTGCTACTTTCAAATCAGAGTGGTTTTTATTTTTCCTGCATTCAGTGTTCAGTCTACATAGAATTCAGTAGTTGTTTGAAAAAAAGACCAGATAAACCTTTTCTACCTCATCTTAATCAGTTTTAGTTTTTTTGTCTGCTTATTGAATACAATCTCAAGGAAATGGTTATATTTAGTTGGCTTCTCTTTTGGCAAATTACTTCCTCTCTAGCTCTCTGATAACATTAGGTTGTTTACATCTCCTAATTACTTGTAATATGCTTCAAGTGTCGAGTTCTCCCAGGTGACGTCATTCTTGCAATCAGGAGTGTCATTATTAAGCCTCAGAATGAACAGCTTGTATGTGGCATTTTAAATTATTAACCTCATTATTTTGGTGAGGCTAAATTAACCTTTCCATGTTTGGCTTGTTTTTGAAAAGTAAACATTTTAATCTCTGCTACTTTCATATCAGATTTTTTTCAATTTTTTTTTTTTCAATTTTTTCCACCTAATTGCCATCACAGCCTAATATTCTGAACTACTAATACCGTATTACTGTATTAGCAGTACTTTATTCTATATGCAAAGAATTTTAAAATTTAAATAATAGTAATTTTGTTAAGGGTATCAAGATTAGTGTTAAGGGAAGAAATGTTATTTATAACAATATGGAAATATAGCAAGTAATACACAAACAAAATACACAAATACCATTTTGATACTTGCAAATTAATGTTAAAAATCAAAATATAAACTGCATAAAAAAAGTAAAACATGTTAAAGAATTGGTACTGAGAATAACTTGACACATCTCATGATTAATAATGCTTTTTTATCGTAAATGTGAATTTTTGGAATTTTTAATTGATTACAATAGCTTAAATTATATTGAAAATAGAAGCAGGAAATTTAGTGAGTTTGACCTTTAGAAATGCGATTTGTACAGTGACAATAACAGATTACATGGCAAAGCAATCAAAATGCTGTTTAACTTAAGAGTTTCTTTAAGCTGTTTTTACTGTTCCTTGGTCAAAGCGGTAAACCAAAGCGGACACACACATGAAATAACAGAATGTATTGGTGCATTATGACTTCCATACTGGAACCATGTTACAATAGGAAATAAACTACATTAGAGTTAACCTTGTACGATAACCGCAAGTATCTTGATTGTCATATTAATCTCTACATTACAAATTCAGTATGAGGTAACTGATTTTTGATGCATTTAAACATTTTGAAAAATTACAAACTGGCAGAACTTATAAATTGTGACGACTTGGTCATAGAGCCTCAGGGTTAGCAGTAGGCGACTTGGGAGGGAGGGGGTGGGTTCTGGGCAAATCCAGCATGGCAAATAATATCTCCAAGCTCAAGTACATATTACTTGATGCAGTGGTGGCTTGAACTAAAAATGAGTAATTATGAATTTAATTCAATGGTAATCAACAAGTGGAATACAAAAGGATTACACTTCAACTGACCTTCCATCAGTCCTCCCACCCCATCATCATCTTACCTGCCTAATTATAACAAAATTGTATTTTTTCTTTAACAGCTCCAATTGGGGAGTTGCGTGACATAGATATTCAGGACCTACAAGGCAAGGCTGGAGGTCGGATAGTTCTATTAACATGGAAGGTAAGTTTTATCAAACTCACAATTCTGTCACTTTTATATATTATAACTCATTATTATTTACATAAAGGTCTTTACCTCATGTCACCTCTATATCGGCCCAAATTAGATTTTAGTTGATATTGTTTAAAATTAGACATTTGACACAAGAATATCATGATTTGATTGATTTGTCTGGATATGATGAGTGAGAAGTAACAGCGTTGGCATTAACATATTTCGATCAATTGAGTAGTACAATTAATCACTATATATGATTGTTGTGGTTTGACATTGTGACAAAAGAACGCACATACTTTGATCATAATTTTCTTCCACATGATTTTATCTGAAAATTATGAGCATTTCCTGATTATTCTGACATTTGGTATATCGCATTAATAAGCAACATTATTAACATTTTGAATGTTTTTTGTCTTTTTTTGTCTCTCCTTCGAGGTTGAAAATTATACATAGTGTGATTTTTTTACATAGTCTATAAGAAAAACAATTTTGTTATTATTGTAATTGGGATTTATAGAGGGCAGCATCACACACATATATAGTGTGATCAATTCTTTTATTTGAAAGAGTGCTCACTGGGATATGCAGGAAGGGTCATCCTGTATATAAAGCCCTGTCCAAAAATATCATATTTTATTTGACCATACACATAAGACATGATTAAATTTGGTCATGAGGACAATTATATGGGCATACAACAGCTTTTGTCAAAAAAATTTTTGAGAGTGTGACATACTATAGTAAGCCTACTGGTATAAAAAAATGCACCATCTTATGACAATGTTATTGTCATACTATTATTATTATTATTAATTTATTATTATTATTACTACAGGATTGTTAACAAAATTTTCAAGCAACTCCCAGTTATATTGTTGGCTTGATTTTTTACATAAAATCGTGAACTCTCATTTTGTTTCTTGAATTGTCATATTTTTGACTATAATACTTGACTATAACAAAGTAATAATTATACTCCGAAGGTCGTTTTCCTCATCCGTCCATATGTTTCCACAACTTCTATGCAATTTACTCTGCTGTTAATTTTGCACATCTTCTCATACTTCAGTTATTGTCTTTGATGATTCCGCTGCAGAGTTCTCTGCCCTATTTGACAAAAAATTATAAGAGGTTCCGTTCAGGAGCCCCTTCAGCAAGAAAGTACAAGTATTACTACCACAAAAAGTGCAAGTATTACTAACTAGGGTTATTTATTTGGCAGAGCATATGAAAACACTCAGAATTTTGCTGGTTTGAATCATGCAACAGTTCAAGCTTTGCTCCACTTAATATTTTTTATGTTTGCTTTATTGTATTGAATATCTTCCTGTTCCGAGTCAAGGACAAACCATTTAATGTTGTATTTAAACTGTAAATTATCTCCTACAAAAGATAGGAAATGATTTACAAATAACACAGTGAGAGAAAGTTGTAGATTATGGAAGGTGTTAACTCTGCCATGCCATGTTTATGTTGAATATTTAAAGCATGGAGGTATTTTATACCTCCATGTTTAAAGGGATACCACTGTTAAAATATGACAACAACTTGGGGGTTGTATTCAATTCCTGAATAGTTTGTTTGTTTATTGGTTTCTTGACACTTCAAATTAATATTACAAAATTAAGTTTAAAATAATGACAACAATATAGAAAAATATGGTTACATAGTCAGTAAAAATGCAAGTCAATAATAACAATTATTGGAATTCTGAAAGAAAGTCAAAAATGCCCAATAAAAAACCAAGAAAATTATGGTACACAGAACACAAGAACACAGCAGTAAATGTAAAATCTAACACAATAGTTAAAAACCAATAATAATAATATTTATTATTATTATTATTATTATTATTATTATTATTAATATTATTATAAAAAAATGCATGTATAATAGTATGTTATTACGATAATGTAGAAAATTATATTGTGATTGAATTTGTATTTGTTAAGATCCACATAAAATATATCATGATTGACTTTTATTATGAACTATTTTCATTTTTGAGGTTTTATATAATTTACCATTTTTTGTAACATATACCATATATATTGATATTAATATAAATAGTAGAAAATGACTCGACTCTGTACTAAAGTGTCAGATGGAGGTACAATTATCTATGTATGTATATAACAATACAAAAAAAATAGCCTATTAACTTTAATTGGTTTTTTTTCTTGTTAATGTGTTGTTAAATGTCTAGGGCACATCCATCACAATCTCTGCTTTTCAGAATTGTGCCCCCTTCAATACTTATTTATTTGTTACATTTCAAAGAAGATTGTAATTCACGTTTTCAAGGAAATAAATGTTATTTTTGAATTTGAATTTGAAATCTCATTTTTTCTATTCTATATGCTATTGCCATCTTGTTACATAATGGAAAAAATGCCTTCATGCTTTATATGTATTTTGTCTTGTCAGCCTATACCTTTGACCCAGACCTGTAGCCCACTACTTGGTTACCGTGTCGTAGTTTGCAAAGAAGCAGAAGAGTGTACGCCTACAGATATTTCACCTAACAGAACCAGCTATTACGTAAAAGGTATTTTTCATATATTTTACAATTTTTCTATTCAAATTAGAAGCAGTTTTTGCGCAGTAGGAATGGTTTGGTTTCCTAACCTTGGTGTCAGGGTTTTAGTCCTGTGATGTGCATTTTGCTTGGGTCCTTGAGTAAGGCAGGTTCAGTCTACCCAGCTGTATCAGTGGGTACTGTACCAGCAAATTTCTGGGAGAACGGTAGACTAGTGGCCCACCCAGTTGGAGCATACACTCTCAACTGCCTGGGGATATACTCCAATTATATAGTATATAGATTTTTCTATGTATTTGTATATTTACTGTATATAAAATTAAATTTGTAGATACCATTTGTCAGGGGCAGAACCAGAATTTTTCTAACGGGTTGGGATCTTTTCCTGTTTGTGGTGGCAGAATTTGCTAGACAGTGGCCATGTAAGCTGTTGGAGCGTAGTTGTGTCACCTTGGGCTTCCAAGTACCATGGGAGGGTCCAAGGGCGTAGGCCTTAAGGCCAATGGCATTGGAATTAGTTTGATGGGCTTTAAGTTAATTTTACTATCTTTTAAATTATGTAGGCCTTTAACAATCTTAATAATGAAAGATTTAGCATATAAGCCTTAGAAACCTGATAAATTTCAAACATAATTAATTATTATTAGTAGATTAGTTGAATTATCAAATTCAACTAAATAATAGTATTCAATTTTGCCCTTACCGGAGAAACAATTTAGCTGATTGAATGTAGGATAGCATATTAAATACAAGCATTGAGCAAGTTCTTTAACCTTACCATGACTTGAGGCCTTCAAATGTTTGCAAGCAAAGGAAGTGCCAGCCTGTTGTTGAACATAGAACATAATTACTTCCCGGCTACAAATCCTTTCTCCCATGAGCACCACTACTAGAATATCATAGCAACAACCCCCTGATCATAGTAATAATTGATTTCATTACATGTATGTCTATGTTATGGTATGTTTGCCAATCTTGTTTTTGTTCTTAGTTGGACGCATAGTATCTAGGATGATCCAATGCATGTTTATATTTTAACATGGATTAGAAAGTAAATGTGTAGGCTCACTGAATAAACTTGTGACATAGTGTTTGGCACTGTTACTTTAAATTGACGTTAATTTCGAAGAAAAACTCCACATCTTATTCAGGAAACACGCAAAGGACAACACCATGGCCTTCATGCAAATGTTTCCGTGTTGAAAAGCCACAGTGTCTCATTCATTTCCAACAGTGCAAGAAATGATTTTCCATAAAAAACATGGTTAAATGTCAAATATTTGTTTAATTCAATTTTTGGTATCACAAATTGCTTTTGTCCTCTGTTCAGACACACAACTTCTAACTTAAAACTTTTTTTTTTTTTTTCATTTTTAGGCCTACGGAAAGAATCGATGTATACCATTTACTTGAGCTCATATAATGCTGTTGGACAATCCAAGCAAAATAATATCACCATCCCTGGTCTTCCCATGCCCCTTAATGGTAAATATAGATTTTTGATTAATGACAAAGTTGATGCAATACACATTTCAAGTATACCGTAAATGCTCGATTAAGTGCAGCGACACTTATAAAAAATATTGCCGTGGCGCTTTCCATGGCCGTTCCCATGTTAGCTATCTCACTTATTCCCGTAGTTCAGTAGGCCTATCATAGTTCCTACGTCTTCATCATATTTATATTGCATCCACAAAAAAACATACAAAGATAGTGATGATTATAACAAGGGAATTAAATTCGCTGGTGAGTATCCATGTGTTTACCATCTGTCATCAAATCTTGAAAATAAAACTATTAAATTAAAATTTTATCTAAATATCTTTCATTTGGTTAGGAAGATATTTTATCATTCTAATTTTTAATTTAAAGCTAATAGATTAGCCTATTGAACTATCACTAAGCAAATCAAATATTTATATTAATGTTTTAGCATATTTTTAAATGCACTTTAATTCTCAATCCTAAAATAACACTGAAATAGGATAAAACTCCATAGTAATGGCAAAAAGAAAAAAAAATACACCATGCTTTAATTACCATAGAATAATTTATAAATTCTATGCATACATCATATGTTAAGGATGTGTTTATTCAATGTGCAGTGTAGAATGATTGCTATAAAATCTGCAGTTTTGGCCATGAAATGATCTGTTTATTGAAACCATCGTTTACGTTTGATAACTTTCTTTGATGGGTACAGGAGCGTTAAAGCGTATAGAATACTGTAACCTTTTCTTTAATAATATTACCAAGAATAGTAACAAAGAAAGCAATGTCAAGTTTGTTATTGTGAGATAGACAAAAATACATGTTTCATTTTTGCTTGTGATTGTGGCATCTGTAAACTGCAAGAGAATTATCCATTCATTTAAAGGGAGTTTAATTAATAAAATTTAAATATATTTTTGGTATTTATATTTTACTGTGTAAAATTTGTGTAAAATGTTGGTAATAAAAATATCATTCTTCTGCCACAATTAATAGCAGATCCTCGAAAGTTGCTTTTTCACTTACAACAATATAATAATTGTGCTCTAACTGAATTATATTACAAGATGAAAATAAAAATGGGTTTTGAAGTTAAATGAGAAGTTGGGTTGTTGTGGAGATGAATCAGACAAGCTTCCACAGTCGAAGTACACCCACTACAAGGGCTGTGTATATGGACAATTTCTGACTAATGTTTATTCTGTTTTTTACAGAAATAAAAAGTAGTTCGAAAAGAAGTTACTTATTGTACCTTGGGTTGGCTATTCCGTTAGCTGCTCTGACAATGATCATTATTTGGGTAGTTTATAAGAAACTGAAGTCCACTTTTAAGCCTGTGCCAGAGCCGCATATACCATCATATCCAGTGAGTAAAGTCAAATTTTATTTTGTTATCGTAGTTCCTTGTGTATAAACCAATCTCATGTATAGGCCCACCTCCAACTTTATGCCCAGTTTTACTTACCAGCATTTCCTACGGGCAAAAGCCCAGGGTTTGATTTTAATGAAAAGCTAATAGCCGACATACTGTACAAATACTTTCAAGATTGGGTTTGAATTAAGCATGCAGTGGGAAATATTTTTCCTTTTGATTAAAATGGAATTTCCTGTGGGGATAAATCTAAACCCCACATCTTCCC